CCTCCCATGGTCCTGCTGCCCCAACCCATTGCAAATGGGAGACTTCCAAACATATTGCAGCCTCAATGCTAGGATGCACTAGGTAACTGGATGGTGGTGGGTGATAGGTTACCCTTGCCTAGTCACCTAATTAATGCGATGTGGCACTGCCAACCCAGATTGGAAATGCTACCACCATTCCTTGTTCCAAGATACTGCAGGGCAAACGTACTTAACCTGACCTTCCCTGCACTCACACCAGTTGGAGACAGAGGGCAACAGTGGTTGCTGGGAAGGGTTGGAGATGGAGGAAATGGAGAGGCCAGGCAGTACCCGGGGTGCCAGGGAGTTGGGGAGCAGCCCCTGAGAACCCATCCTGGGGAGGTCAGGGAGCCATATATGAGTCAAGGTTCCAAGCCTCTGGTGTGTGCTTCCTTATCTATTGGACTGTACTTACAAAGCACAAATATAAAAATAAAATTGTATAGAATTTCAAGACAGTGATTACAGAGCATTAAACCCCAAGTACCAGGCCCTTCTGAGGAGTATACAAGTACACCAATAAAGCTAGTCCTTCATATTTCCTAGTGCTGTGCACTGCTGTGGCCTAGAAGCAATGCTATCCCAGCAGCAATAAGCATACCTTGAAACTAGATCTTGGTTTCTAAATACCATTTCCTAATTAAAAAAAAAAAAAAAAAAAAAAAAAGCCGTGCTTCTTGGAGAAATGGTGGATTCCTGGCTTGGCACAGGCAAAGTACAAGGTGAGGCTGGGACTTCTTATGCCAGGATATAGGAAAGCACCAAAAGACCAATGGGATTGTGTCAAAAGGACTCAGGAGCCAGGTTAAAGGGGCTCTCTCCTAGGCCAAATTTTGGACGATTGAGCATCAAGAAGAATAATGATCATAATTGCTTATAATCACTGAGCAAATTAAAACCATGAGTGTATTATGATACTCAAATAAGTGAAAACTCACTAGTGATCAATGATGACAATTATATCAACTTTTTTTTTCCTGAAATTTTGTAACTAAGGGAAAGATGTAGGCATTTACCCTTTTTAGTTAATCCCGATTTGATTCTTCTTTATAGAGGAATGTCAGGTAACAATTACAAATGAATTTATACAATATCAACATTTTCCAATAAAAGAATCAATTCAGGCAAGTATCATCAATGACTGCTAACATAATTGGTTGACAGATTGGTGGAGGCAGCATACTTATGTAGTACCAATGTACTACCCCTGAAGTTACTCTTTTTCTAATTTTTAAAATTTTTGTAGAGACAGGGTCTCACATGATACCCAGGTTGGTCTTGAACTCATGGCCTCAAGAGATCCTCCTGCCTCCATCCCCCAAAGTGCTGCGATTACAGGCATGAGCCACCACACGTGGCCTCATGTTACTTTTTAATTGCAAAGGGAAGAATTTTGCTTGGTTCTCATTACCTTAACCCAGTGATTATACTTAACGTCACTTATAGTGAGACAACCTGGTGTTATGTGCCTCCTGAGGTGGTGCAATATGAACTACACAACATAACCTACGTAGTATTCTTGCCAAAAATGTTTAACCTGAATCTAATTATGCCTCTAGACCTAACCTCCAGTTTACAGGTGTCTTAGCTTGCCAGGACCGCTGAAACAAAGTACCACAAACTGTGTGGAATAAACAGGAGAAATTTATTGTCTCACAGTTCTAGAGGCTGGAAGTTTGAGATTAAGGTGTGGGTGGGGTTGGTTCCTTTTGAAGCCTGTGAGAGAATGAACTCTTGTAGATCTCTTCTTGGGGAATGGCTCAGTGGCTCATAGCCCTGTGAATTAAAGTGACAAAAAACAGATTACTGAGCTGGGTATGTGGAGTGGTGTGCACCTGTAATCCCAGCTACTTGGGAGGCTGGGGTGGGAGTTCAGCAGTTCAAGACCAGCTGAAACTGCCTTTGCAAAGATTTTAACAGTGAGACAGTAAAAGAGATCTGACCTAACTGACTCCATTTTCCCTTTAACCTCCAGGCTGCCCTTGTTCTTTCCCGGGCATAAGTCAAACTAACTTTGGGAGGAATTTTTATAGTTTAACTTTGAAACAAAGATGATAACAGTAACTCCCTGAAACAAACTCCCTCCTTGCTTGGGGACCAGATCATGTTTATAAAACTAACAACTTAGCCACAAGATTAGGAATTGTGGCCCAAGAGTCATGTAGCCAGAGACCACAGATTCCTAACTTTCCCAGTTGCTCCTATGGATAACATCACTGTTGTAAAACCAAAGACTGACGTTTGAGGTATTTTTCAGACCCTGCATTCTGATGGATCAGCTGGTGCCACCCAGACTGGTAAACTGGGTCCTCTGCTCATGTGGCTCACACCCAGGCACTGACTCAGTGCAAGAATACAAGCTCCAACTCCCTGTGATTTCATCCATGAGCCGACCAATCAGCATTCTCCATTTCCAAGCCCTTTGCCCGCCAAACTGTCTTTAAAAAAGCCTAGCCTCTGAGTTTTCAGGGAGGCTGACCTGAGCAATAATAAAACTCCAGTCTCGTGTTTAGCCAGCTCTCTGTGTATTAAACTCTTTCTCTATTGCAATTCCCTTGTCTTGATAAATCGACTGCATCTGGGCAGCAGGCAAGACGAACCAGTTGGGTGGTTACTCAGTCTAGGCAAAATAGCAAGATCCCATCTATATAAAATTTTTTTTAATAAAAAAAAGGAGGACAGATTACCATGAGAAGAAGATAGATTTGATTATATACATACACACAAAAGTTAACAAATGCGGGTGACTCAAGGAGGCAGTTAGAATTTGGGGCTTACATGCCATCCTAAACTAGACAAAAGCAAAGGGGGTTTTGGGCTTCTTGGGGAGTGGCAAGTTATGGGAAATGTATGGTGAATAAGGGTTGTCTTGCTATTTAGATAGGAGACATCTCAGGTGCTAAGAGTTTTCCTAGTAAAGGAGAGGGAGACTCCTTACAACTGGAAATGTATGTCCTGCTTTTAGTCAGAAGCAGGAAGGGCAGAGAGCTAATGGCCTTTAGCTCAAAGCCATCCTTTTTGAGTGACATGTTTGGGGGTGGCATATTCTGGCCCCCTTCACTTGTTTCTAGTTTCTGGTGGTTTGCTAGCAATCTTTCACATTCCTTGACACGTAGAAGTGTCACTCTGATCCTTGCCTTCATGTTCACAGGACATTGCCCCCATGTGTGCATGTCTATCTCCAAATTTCCCCTTTTTATAAGGACACCAGTCATATCGGATTAGGGACCCGCCCTATTACCCTACTCCGGTATGACCTCATCTTAACTAATTATGTCTACAGTGACTATTTCCAAATAAGCTCACATTCTGAGGTACTGAGGGTTAGGGCTTCAACATCTGAATTTTGGGTGATAAACACAATTCAGCTCATCACAGGAAATCTGGCGGGGCAGAACAAGAACACCACCACACACGATTGATCAGACAAATCTAGAATGTGGGGCTTTCTACAAAGTCTCTTCAAAAACACAATGTCATTTTTAAAAAGTAGAGGGACTATTCCAAAAAGACCAAAAAAATCAAATGTATGAATTGTGATTGGATTTTGGTTTAATTCAGAAACTGCTCTAAGATATAGTACAAGTTGAGGAGATTTGAATGTGGCCTGGGTATTCTGAGAGTTAGGTGGTATTAGGCAATTACTGTTGATTTTCTTAGAGGTAATCATTGTGCGATAGTTATAGAAGAGAATTAACTTATATTAGAATGATGCAAGCTGAAGTATTTGGGATTACGTGTCATGATGTCACTTTTAATTTAATTTACTTTTAAATAGATCAGCAAAAAAAAGTATATATTCATGAAGCAAATCTGTATATATAATTGTGTATATAGATAAAACAAATATACCAGAAGGTTAACATTTGTCGAATTTCAGTGGTGGATATATGGGTTTTCATTGTGCTGTTCTTTCAACTTTTCTGTATGTTTGAAGTTTTACATAATAAAAAGTTGACAGAAAATGAAGAAAAATAGTTTTTTAAGAGAAGGTTTTCCCCCCCATCTTTCTATTGAAAATAGAGCATTAAAAAAATCCAACTCGCTTAAAACGTACATGAAAATTCAGTTAGTGAAAAAGAAAAATTTGCTGTTAGGGTTGTAAAACAGTTGGGCTGCTTTCCAAGCAATTCCTTCCCTTTATTACTGTGAGTTGGAGGTTAGAGCACAAGGCCCTCAATCAAGAATTATTTGAAGGCCTCCAAAAGCCCTGCTGACCTCCAAGTATCTCCCCTGCTGACTTTCCATGTGGCCTGAAATTTCTGTCACCTGGGTCAATTCTTAGGGATCGAGTATTTTCTCAATACTGGGGAGGCAGTGCCCCCTTTTAAAATGCAAATTTGGGAGGGATCCTGGACCCATTAAGTAGGAACAATTGTGTGAGGAGCCACCACCTGCCCAAAGGCCCGCAATTCTGACAGCTCCTTCCCCAACCCCTTACCACCACTGAGATTGGACAATGTGTGCTTTAGGAAACAAAATTGAACAATGCATGCTCTAAGAAACTTCTTAGGTGAAGATACCATTTCAAGAAAGCTTATTTTCCGTGAATAAAACGGGGTGCATGAGGTCATTGCTGTTTTTACTTTGTAAACTGGGTGGCCTCTGAAAGCTTCTTTAGAACACTTCAAAGGAAAGCTCCTCAACTCTTCCAGGCCCCCAACCCCTTTCCTTTGTTACTGAATTCTTACTGACCCCACAGTTTTCACTGAATGAAGAGTTTCCAAGGGGTCTACAAAATACCTGGGACAATTAGAGAAATGAAAACCAGGGGGTCAAGATGAATCGACCCTTGGCAGAGGATTTACATAAATAGGTCCTAACCTCTGGCTGTGAATAAAAGATAAAATGCCCCACTGGGGTCAGAACTGCAGTTCAAGGGCATTTGCAGGGCCAAGCCTGGCTTCTCTGCTATGTCAGGAATTCCAGGAATGCCACTGATTATTGTGTGTTGGCAGGGCGCAGGAGGTTGCAGCCAGGCTAACAGAAACCCAGCCCTGCCCACTGGGTGAAACTGCAAGTCGAGAGCGTGGGAAACCAGCAAGTTGAGAGAGGATCCAGAAGTAACCCCTTCTAAAATGGGAAAGATGCCTTCCGAAAGGTGACCAAATTCTTGTTTTAGATGGTGGTGTTAACTTGGGAGGTCGGAAGGGAGGCAGGTGGGAGAAGGGACATGTCCCTTTCGAAAGAGTCCCTTTGTTTCCTCTGTGGAGCACAGCTCTGTGGGAGGCATCTGCTCTTTACCCATAGACCGGATGGACTGGTACTGGTCTTCTCTAGACTGAAGGTCCTCCACCAGGTCTCCTGCTGCTGCTACCTAAGAAAGAAATCTCACAAGGGTGTTAAAAGGTAATTTCCAGAAAGAGGTAAAATCGTGACCGTTATACAGATATAAAAATGAACATGTGTTAAAGACTTTTACTTACATAACTGAGGGAACCAGGCAGATGTTATAACTGGTTTAAAAAAGAAACAGCCCCAATTTATATGGAGTAAAGGAATTTAGAGATGAATTGCAAATGGAGGCAAACTGTTTATTGCCCCCCCGCCCCCCGCCTCCGCCCCCCCGCCCCCCGCCTCCGCCCCCCCTCCCACACACACAGGGGGAAGGAAGTCAATTGAACCAGATAGGACAGGATTTGCATATCTATCAGTGACCTACAACTTACAGAGTGGCAAATAGCTCCAGTAGAATCAGAATCAGATAAAGCCTGAAAGCATGTACTATAGGCAATAGTTTTCTATTGAAGTGTGAATTTACAAGGGCAAGAAATTTTGCTTTCTGAATTTTTAATTTTTTATTATTTATTTATTTATTTATTTTGAGACGGTGTTTCGCTCTGTCACCCAGGCTGGAGTTCAGTGGCGGGATCTCGGCTCACTGCAACCTCTGCCTCCTGGGTTCCAGCAATTCTCTTGCCTTGGCCTCCCAAGTAGCTGGGGTTACAGGCATGTGCCACCGTGCCCGGCTAATTTTTGTATTTTTAGTAGAGACAGGGTTTTTCCATGTTGGTCAGGCTGGTCTCGAACTTCTGACTTCAGGTGATCCGCCCGCCTCTCAAAGTATTGGGATTACAGGCGTCAGTCACCGAGCCCGGCCCTAAATACTTTCTTAAGGGAAGTGTCCCCTCCATTCCCCTACCTCTTACCCCCTACCCGAACATACACATACTTTTTTAACCCAAGAGAGTGAGATGAACTTGAGAATCTTTGGTCAAAGTTGCCTCCCAAACCTCCACAATATTCTACCTTACTTTATTTCCCTGTCACATCAAAATGCATACAATCGTGGTTGGTTTGTTTCTTGGTGATTTGAGGATTACAAAGAGGCTGTCTTGACCTTGTCATCTTGTTCTTTCTCTCTTACAGCACTTGGCCCTAAAGAGAAAACACTAGGAGGATGAGAACTGGGAACAGAGAAGCCACTTGCTCTGCAGCCATTTGGGCCAGTAAGTTCCCTAATCTTTATTTATTTTTTTATTATTTTTATTTTTTTTTGAGGCGGAGTCTTGCTCTGTCGCCCAGGCTGGAGTGCAGTGGCCCGATCTCAGCTCACTGCAAGCTCCGCATCCCGGGTTCCTGCCATTCTCCTGCCTCAGCCTCCTGAGTAGCTGGGACTACAGGCGCCCGCCACCACGTCTGGCTAATTTTTTGTATTTTTAGTAGAGACGGGGTTTCACCGTGTTAGCCAAGATGGTCTCGATCTCCTGACCTCATGATCCACCCGCCTCGGCCTCCCAGAGTGCTGGGATGTTCCCTAATCTTGATGGTCATCCTGGAGCTTATTTTCCTGAGAGTCTCTAAGTGACTCACCGCATCATGTAAAACTAAGAAGAAGGATGTCCTGAATTTTCCTGCTTAGAGAGCTTGTTTTTCTTTCCTGTTGCATCAAAGGGGTCTGTTAAGCTTTCTAAAAGTACTAATCTGACCTGATATCTGAAGTAACAGATAGGAATTTGGGCTCTTTAGATGGAGCTCTTCCCCCATACCTGCATCTAATTGAAGAGGCTGAACTTCAAAACAAAATCATGTTGAAGAATTCATTCTCGTTCCCAGATTTAATTTCTTATTTTTATATTGTTGCATAAGAAATCTACTCTATAAAGCGTCTATTTTCCAATTTGGAAAATCTTGTTTTAGGTTCATTTCTTTAAAGACCAACAAACAAAAACACCCAATTCACTAGCCCAGGTCTTTATGCACCGCCATTCCCCCTCCCCGCCTCCATTTTTCAATGGAGTAGTGATTGTGGGGCCGCTGCTTGAATTTTACTCTATTCTTTATCTAATGAACAAAGGCAAGGCTGGTGATGCTGAGAATGCATGAGGGAAAAAAAAGATATCACAATGACAGCACACTCTGCAGCGTTCCATCCAAAAGCAAGTTAGTGACTCACTGTTCCGTAAAGCACAGGGCAGATTCTTATATGGAAAAACTGCCCTTAGAAGTGCGTGTGAGACCCTAGTCTGTGTAAAGGAATTTACTCTGGGTTTTCTTCACATTGGCACTCAGGTATGCGGGTGTGGGTTCACAGACATTCCTTTCTGACTCATTACCCACTTTGCCCCTGCTCCCCGCCCCCTTAGTGCTTGAGGCACTTTTTCCAGCCTTCCCTGGGCTGGGGCAGAGATTGATGGTATCTTGGCACTCTCCAAAGAGACGCTGTGCCCCTTTGCACTTTCCTTTTGTGGCTAGTCCTTAAGACTCGCTGCCAAGCTTGGTTAAATGGACATGGCACAGCTGCCACTGAGCTGAAAGCTCTTACCTACGATGGGTTGTGGTACAAGTAGACTCTTCTGTTAGTCTGCCACTCAACACGTATTTATCCACCAGACAGACAGTGAGATAGTGAAGGGGACCAGAATCTGCCACCCTAGAATATACCACTTTGGCATAAGGATTGTTTTGATTTGAAAGCAATTGGCTCTCTGCCTTCCCCTTTTCTGTCTAAAAGTAGGGCATAAATTTCTCTTTGAAAATTTACAAATTTCCCTTTGTAAAGGTGTGTCTCCCTCTCCTGTACCAGCAAGAAAACTACTCTGGAGGCAACGCTTAGCACCCAGGATGTCTCTTATCCACATAACAAACCTTACTAAACGACCCTTATTTCCTGTACATTTCCTATTCACCTTCCTATAATTTATCTCCTCCCCAGAAGCCCCAGATTGCTTTGCTTTTGTCTAGCCTAAGATGGTATATAAGCCCAAATTCTAACTGCTTCCTTGAGTCACATTTCTTCGTGAACTCCTGTGTGTATGCACATACTTAAATCTGGTTTTTTTCTGTTAATCTGCCTTTTATCAGTTTTATTTGCAAGTTTCAGCAACTGAAGTTGAAACTGCCTTTGCAAAAATTATAACAGTGAGAAAATTGTGACAGTGAAAGAGCTCTGATCCAACCAACTCTATCTCACCTTTAACCTCCAAACTGCCCTTGATCAAGGCATGGGCCAAGCTAACTTTGGGAGAAATTTATAGTTTAAATGATAATAGCCCTTCCCAAAACTAAACTGCCTTTATAAAACTAATGAAAGGCCACCAGGTTGGGAGGATGATTGGGGCCTGAATTCCACTAAGATGTAGGCATAAATGATTACCAGCCATTATTCTGGAAGCCACAAGATTTGCAACTTCCGCAATTACTCCTGTAAATAACATCACTATTGTAGAACCTAACATTGGCCTTTTGAGATGTCTTTTCAGATTTTTGCATTTCTGATGATCCAATGGCCCCATCCAGACTGGAGACACCAACTCACTGACTCAGCTGGTCTTGTGGCCCCCACCCAGAAGTGGACTCAGTGCATGAGGACCATTTTCCACACTCCTATGATTACATCCCCAACCAATCAGCAGGACGATTTCCTAACCCCCTGCCCACCAAACTGTCTTTTAAAGAAACTGGCTGGGCGCGGTGGCTCATGCCTGTAATCCCAGCACTTTGGGAGGCTGAGGTGGGTGGATCATGAGGTCAGGAGTTCAAGACCAGCCTGGCTAAGATGGTGAAACCCCGTCTCTACTAAAAATACAAAAAAATAAAAATAAAAATAAAAATTAGCCGGGCATAGTGGCAGGCGCCTGTAATCCCAGATACTTGGGAAGCTGAGGCAGAGAATTGCTTGAACCCAGAGGCAGAGGTTGCAGTGAGCCGAGATCGCTCTACTGCACTCCAGCCTGGGCAACAGAGCAAGACTTTGTCTCAAGAAACAAAACAAAACAAAAAAACCTAGCCTCCACATTTTCAGAGAGGCTCATTTGAGTAATAATAAAACTCTGGTCTCCCATTTAGCTGGCTCTTCATGTATTAAACTCTTTTTCTATGGCAATAACCCTGTCTTGATAAATTAGCTTCATCTGGAAAGCAGGCAAGAAGAACCAATTGGGTGGTTATATAGGGGGCTTCTAGCATGGCCTAGTGATGCAGAGGCCATGGCAGATGAAGCCAACTTTCCCTATCTGAGTAGAGGACTCAGGGGCCCAGAGGAGTCAGAAGGGGAGATGGGAGCCACGGATGAGGAGGAACTCCTGGAAAGGTCTGAGAAAGAAGAACCCTAAGTTTAGCATCTTAGGTCCTGAAAAAATGGTTGAAGGAGAGGAAAATATGGAGAAAAAGAGTATTGTGACATGAACCTGCCCCTGTGCCCTGAGTTCCTGGGAGTTTCTTGTTAGCTTCTGTGTCCTGTTGTTCTGTATCCTCTGCAAAGGAAAGATGAAATCTGTTGCCAGATAGGCGATGGGGTTCAGGACACACTACCCCAAAAGATGGCATCTTGTCATATTGAATAAAATGGCAGAAACTGGAGGATTGGTCTTAACTTTCCCCATACTTCTCCCCTGAAGCAGATTATAAAACCTAGGGAGGACTCTCTGACTGATATGGTTTGGCTGTGTCTCCACCCAAGTCTCATCTTGAATTGTAACTCCCACAATTCCCACATGTCATGGGAGGAACACATGGTGGGAGGTGATTGAATCATGGGGGCGAGTCTTTCCTGCACTGTTCTCGTGATAGTGAATGAGTCTCATGAGATCTGATGGTTTGATAAGGGGAAGCCCGTTTTGCTTGGCTCTCATTCTCTCTCTTTGCCTGCCACCATCCACGTAAGATGTGACTTGCAACTCCTTGTTTTCCAACATGATTGTGAGGCCTTCCCAGCCACATGGAACTGTAAGTCCATTAAACCTCTTTCTTTTGTAAATTGCCTAGTCCAGGTATGTCTTTATCAGCAGCATGAAAACCAACTAATACACTGACCTTCCCCTAAAGTAGGTTATATGACCGTCATCTGAAAGATGCCCTTCTTAGACCTACAGGGAAGGAAAAAGCATCCTTATCTCTGAAAATGGAGGAACACAGAGAAAAATTCAAACAAACAGGCCTTGTTAAGTCCCTGCCCTGTTTATTACCATGAGATAATATTCTTTGTCCTATCATATTGCTCCATGACTGTTCATTCTTCATCAAACCTAGAATAAAAACACTCAAATTTACTTGTTTCTTTGGTCTTCATTTCCTTATTTCCTTATGAAGGCTCTCATGTCACATAAAACTTATGTGAAATAAACCTGTATGGTTTTCCGATTAACCTGCTTTTTGTTATAGGCCATAAACCTAGGATAGGTAGAGAAAAGGATATTTTTCCTCCCCTACATGGATCCAGATGCAATCACCACCATTAGTAGTGCTTTGCTTGACTTTGACTGCCTAAGAAAAGTTAGTGGATTTGCAGCCACTCACCCACTCCCATCCCCATTTCTATTAAACACATGATTTAACATTGTGCTAGAACAGCAGAGATTTGAGCTCTTCTTAGAGGCCCCTCTAGCATGTTGCTTCTTCTGAGAGAGAGCAAGTAAGACCCTCATGGCCATGCATCCAAGGTTTGCTGCCCTGAGGGCCACTGCTTTTTACCTTTACATTGCTGCCTTAATGAGTCCCAGCAGTCCAGGAAAATTTCCTGGATTCAGACATTCCTATTATTCTGAAAATTTGTTTTTCCTGCCCTCCACTCACAGAACTGCTTAGACAGAGTGACTATATATCACTAACTATAAATTCATAATCAATTAAAGAAAATAACTTCTCTAATCCAAGTCCAAAGGCTAATAACAGAGGCCCAGGGATTCCTGAGCTATCAGAGGGAGGCACTAGGCTAGTCTCCCAGTGAAATCAAGCAAAGACAGAAATCATTAGAGGAGCCATATTTATTGTTTGAATTTTATGATGGTAATTTGATTCTATGAATCAAAAAAAGGAAGTTCACATTGGTTCGGTGTGGCATGTGATAAACCACAGCATTGCTATCTACATTTTTTTCTTTCTTTATGTTCAGCGGCCTCTCAATAAAGTGAATATTTTGAGTTTTGCAGTACCAGATACAGACATAGGTTGTAAAGAAGAAGAGTTTTACCACTTGTTAAAGAGATAGGAGTAAAGCAGCAAAACTCCA